CATTAATATGAAAATGATTTTTATTCCCACGCAAATGAAACTCATTTTCACAAGAACGGTTTTGCAACCAGCCTCGTTCTGAAAGTGAGAGTTTTTGAAACTCGGAAATAATCTTTAAGATTTTCATTGTTTTCAGAGCAAAAATCATTGGCTGCCCTGATCCTCACAGTTGCCCGTCTGTCTTAATTATATTTTCTCTACTTTTTTCAGGTCCCAATAACATTTGTTGACCGTGTTTACGGCGAATCAAAACTTGGCGGCACGGAAATTGTTTCCTTTGCAAAGGGACTACTTTATCTGTTTGCCACAACGTAACAGTTTTCAGTTACTGAGATCGCTAATAATTAACTAAGGAAGATTAGTCAATCTATGGTTAAGGTTAAATTCCTTTCATTGAGGGGCTATAGCATCGTAAGCGTTAGTCCAATTTCCAACATAGGGTTATGTTGGAATTCAAGCTGTAGTTTTGAATTGAGGGAAGAAAAGCCACTGAAATTGTGTTATACGTATTTTCATTATTTAGAGTTTTTTCAGTCGAGTGTCGAGTTATTTGGTCAATAATCGGAACGCGTCCTTAAAGTAAAACTAAACGAGTAACTCGAGAAAGTTTCTGTGGATGCTCAGCTAAAAACTGTTCTACTTTGTCTTGTTTGGTGCTGCCTACGGACTGAAGGGCAATTTTTGTAACCACCATATGACGTATTTTGACATTTTCACAGATAGTTGTGTTATAAAGCTAGCGTTTTTCATTTGCTATCACATGGTATCTGACCAAAAAGTATCTTAACAGGCAGCATCGTAAAATCTCTGAGGTTAGAGAAAATGAGTTACCTCTAATTATATTGATATTACATCTGATAACGACTTCGTGTCTTGGCTCGGTTAATAAAAAAAACCTTACGAATCCGTTATGGGTACACTTACATAGAAGACACTTAGCACTGTCGTAAACTTCTGCCTTACGGGGTAACTTACAGGTTTCACTTAAGGAAAATAGAAAGTGCAGCCGCTTAGGCGTTCTTCGTGTGCCAAACATACTTCTTGATCTTGTAAAGTTTTCCGATTTTTTCATTTGAAATTCATCCAAAATCGCATTTTCTGCTAATGAACTTTGAGTTTTTCGGGAGTTTTGAAAACGCACGCCGGGGCCCAGTTGTTGGAAGGCCGATTAGCGCTTAACCCAAGGTTAAATTTAACCCAGGTTTCTTTTTCTTTTGTTCGAAAGCATTTTCTCGGATAAATTTCTCTGTTATTTTTAAGAGCATCCAATCATCATCTTATTGACAGAAAGAATTTAATTGAATTTACTTTTTAATCTTTCATATCTGAATGCAAATTTCGCGCTAACCCTGGGTTATCTTAACCCAGCTTTGAACAACCCGGCCCCGGTCCCGAAGTTGACATAGGGTTAAAGGTATCTGCATATTGATCGCAAAAAGCGCTTCATCACTTGGAGGCGAGACGCCCCGGAAAGAATATGGAAACCGTAATACTGAGAATCCACTTATATTTTCTTCTTGTTTGTTTATTATTACTCTTAATAAGTTTTGTTTGATTTCGGTTTATGCTGTGCCATAGCACTTCAGTTTTCCTAGAGTATGGTAGCCCTGGTTAGTGCTCCCTGCGTCACCAAACCGGAGCTGTTTTACTGGAAGATTTGTCTTGTCAGTAAGGAGACCGCTGTCTTCACGCCAAACATAGTCATTCTTATCACAGTTACAGCCGTAACTGGAGTCTGCGCATGAGTTGGTCATCCCGCATGCGCACTTACCACTACCAGGAGATGCTCCTCCCCAGTACGTCATCTTAGAAGAATCACGTGACACCCACCATCCCATTCCATTTTTTAATAACCTTGAATCATAACATTCATACTTGATAAACTGTTCACAGTGTGAGGAGACTCTGGTAAGACTCGCCAGCTGAGAAAGACTCGCTCCTGTGTAATGGATGTCACGTGAGTAGCTACCTGCACCTCCCCAGCTGAGACCATCGCGCACCTTTGTTCTGCTCTCACTGTCGTGACTGATGACTGTCACACCAACTCCATTCTTTGCAGTCATGTCACAGTATACTGTGAATGGCGCCAGGCCTCCTTCGCCGTCTGGATCAATGACGTAATTTCCGCTTACACCGGTAAGGTATTTTCTCAAAACAGAACAGGAAGGTGCAAAAGGAGTGTTAACCTTGACATTAGCTTCAATTGACGTCAGAGCATTAGTGGCTCTGCAGGTGTATGATCCCTGGTGCGCTTTCTTAATCTTGTGTAAAACCAATGTATTATTTTGAAGAACATTAGAGTTTGAAGGAAGTGATGTCTTGTCGTCTCTTGTCCAGGTGATGGAAGGTCTCAGGTCACTTTCGGCCACGCAAGGCAGACGGATGGTAGAGCCAATAACAGCAGTCAATTCTTGAGGAGGACGGATTTTGAACCGCAAAGGAGAGAAAATAATGAGTTGAATATTGTCTGTTGCCGATCCCAAAATGTTATCTGCCTTGCAAATGTATGTTCCTCGGTCTTTCTTTTTCACATTGAAGATTATCAGCCTCTTGTTTGTCAACCTAGTTCTACCCTTTGGCAAACTACTTAATGCTTTAAACCATGTGACACTGGGCTGTGGCTGACCAGTAGCATTGCAGGCGATAGTGACGTTTTGATTTTCTTCAACCATCAGTGTATTGGATGCCAATATTGCCTTCGGAGCGACTATCAACAAAACGGACAAAATCAAAGGCGTCATTGGGCAGTTCAATTAATTTGGAAGGACATTTTTAACACCAGAAAGTTCAGAAAAAAATTCCGAGCTCCAGTTGAGAATCGAACTCACGTTCCTCCGAGTCCTAGCTCGGACGCTCTAACCACTGAGTTATTGGAGGCTCTATGGCGAGCAGGGGCGAAATTTAATTATAACTACACCAGTCATAGAGGACTTGCTCGAAATCGGGCGTCCACCAATTAGATAGATGAGGTTCACAATATCATCCTCATAACGAACAAACAAACGTATTCTTCACTGGTTTTTGGTACTGCTTAAAGGAGTCTAATGTCAGTGTGCTCATGAGCCTTAAAGGCTTTTTCCTTTCACATAAGCTGTCGGATATAGCGAAGTGTTTGTCACTTATTGGGAAAAGTTAAAAAACAAACAAAGCAGAGAAAAAAAACAAAACAAAAACAAAAAGACGAAACCAAAGCGAAATATTCCCGAGTTCATAAGCAACATGTGGCTTCGGCTGGAGCTTCGGGGTAAGACTGGCATACAAGAGCTAAGCAGAAACTGAAAGGAAAATAACTTACACTGAACAATAAGCTTTGCTGAGGCATTGACAATTCCGAGCAGATTTTTAGCTGTGTAACTGTAAACACCCTCGTCGTCAGGTCTAACGTCCTTTACAATCAGCGCACCACTGGATTGTACCACGTGACGCCCTACAGGAAGCGATGAATTGAGCTTAGTCCACGTGACCTGTGGAAGTGGGTTACCGTCCACTGTGCATTTGAAGATGGCTGTCTCACTTTCATTGGTTGTCTTTTTAGCAGGACGCTGCAGCAGAGATGGAGCTGAGATGGACTTGCCTGCTTCACCTTTAGTGCCTTTCTCACCCGGCGGGCCTGTAGCTCCAGCGGGACCTGGGTTACCGGGTACCCCCAGATCCCCTTTTACACCCATCGGTCCTTGAAGTCCTATTGGTCCGTGCTTACCAGGAGGTCCCTCTGGCCCTGGTCTTCCTGTGGAACCCGGTCTCCCTGGGAGACCTGGTGTCCCTCGACTTCCGGGTTTTCCCCGTCTCCCCGTGTTACCCCTTGGTCCAGGGCGGCAGAGAGTTCTATCTTTAGCACAGATTTGATTTTGCAGCAGGCGAAGCTCTTCTTTGATCAGCAGTTTTAATTGAGCCGAATTATTTTGCGAGTTGTTTACCAGTGCCCGCTTTTGTCTTGAGAGGACTGCATCTCTCTGGCCCTCAACTGATGAACGGTGTTCGTATATAAAAGTAAACAGAAAAAGTTTTTTACTAAAGTAAAAGAAAACAGTCAAAACAACAGTCACAGCCATATGAAAACAACAGCAAATTAACAACAAAGCAAAGCGGCAAAACAAACAAACGAAAGAAAGAACTGGCAAAGCCCAGCTTAGGTACACTGAGTCAGACTGTACAACATTCATTATTACTTGTTCATTTTTTTCAGTTGATTGAACAGACATACAATGCAAACAGCACTGAAATTCCATGCGTTGGTAATGAATTTTTTAACGAATGGAGTCAAATTAATTTTAACTCAATTGCCAATTTGCATCTCGAGAATAAAAACTGAACTCACCTCTTGTCTTCTGTTGTTGACCTTCCGAATGGCTTCCTTTGGTGCTGACTTGCCATCCCGCGTAACTCTGTTTAACTTTTAGAAGGATCTGTGTCTCCATTTGCCCACAGAACGTTACGGAATGTGTTATAAGTCGATGGTGTTCTTGTATTCTCAGTTCCACGTGAATTAAAGCGATGCAAAACACAAGAGACAACAGCAAGCCTGACGTGGAAAACATTGAGTTGTCTCGTGTCCTTCCGCCCTTCGTCTGCAACTCTTCTCCGTCTTCTGTACACCGATGTTTCATGACTTAATAAACCGGCTGATGATATGTTATCCACAAAGTGAAAAAGGAACTGTGACTACAAGTTATCGCAGCAAATACTATACCGGCAGATCCTCTGAACAACAAACAGTCAAAAAGGCAAAGGAAAAGGTGCCAAGTCTACTGCTGTCTTGTAATCTTATATGATACAGCGAACGAGGAAGTGTTAGTAAAACGAGGAAAGGGAAGCGGGAACGGCAAAATGAAATATGAGAACAAAACTTAACTTGAACCCTAGCCATATTAGTAACGTCATTTCCAATTCTCTGCTTTGTTCCTATGTTTAATTTTGCCCGTTTCCTGTGCTAGTTCCTCGTTTTAGTAACAGTAGGAAGACACTGTGATGTACGTGGCGTTTTCTTTTTTGGGGGAGCACGAAATTCGGAAAAAAGAGAACGCCTGAGTGTAGGTTTAGGATATGATCCTGACAATAAAATAGAGGACTTCCTTCAGTTTTTTCAAGGTGAAGGGGGGACTCCTCATGGAATGAAAAATTATGTTTTGACTTTGTACTTACTATGATATGTTTATTTATCCCTGGACATTCTAACGTGCATTACAAAAATTTTATTCAAAGTATTCGGTCTATAATGGAAAAGTATCAGAGATGGGCTTTAAGTTCGAGTTCATTTCTTTATTTTGCTAGTGCCAGTCCACAGCTTTTAAACAGTATTTTACATTTGAATGAAAGATAATAGCAGCAAACAAATAATTAACGCTTTAGTGTTGGTTTGTACAAAACCTAAACAAACTCAGAGAACTGGGATTTCCCAACTACTGCCTTTTCAGTTCTTCGTTTGCCCGGCATTTTACAGTAATTGTTTCAGATAATTGTTTTACTTTATTTGCCAGCAGGTTGGTCAAAATTTTCTTCTTTTATGATTTTTGACATCATTTAACTCATTAACTCTTCAAGTCCCAAGTGTGACCAACATCAATTTTCTCAAAACAATATCACTACAATATCAAGAGAAAAGGTTGTGAGGATTCTTTAAAATGATCACCTAATGGTAAATGCTTTGATGTTTTATCAAATTCTTTCAACTACTTCCTCAAGCTGATGTATGGAGATCATTCTGAAGAAACTGTAAGTAGATATTGGAGTTTAAAGGGTGAAGGTCACCTCAAAATTTTTGGCTGCTTTCAAATGGTCCTATTCCAGAGTGGAACAACGATTGCTAATACAACCTCCCGCCATCACAATTTTGAGGTCATAGGCCAAAGGCTGGTCATTTTTATTACATTGTAATGATTACCGGTTGAAGAATTTGATGCGGGGACTTGTTCCTACAAAACGTTCCTGCTACTACTTGTATTAATAATGCTTCTTGGCCACTGACTGTTTTTGAATCACCAATAATACACTCGGTTTGTTCCCTCAAGTTTTCAGAAGTTATTGCTCTTGAAAATAGGTAGCCCTTCTGGGAGCACTTGAAAACAATAGCTTCTGCAAAATTGGGGGACGGGAGGCGGGGGGCAAACAGAGTGTATTGTGGGGAATTCGAAAAAACAGAACCGTTTAAACCGCTAGTGCCTGTTTATGTGGAGGTAGGGCACCCCAGGAAGGTGAGGTAACCCGCTTAGGTGGGGTAACCCTCCTGTCCATATAATCTCTCATTTTAATTTGATTACGTTTACATGATAGGTGAGGTGACCCGCCGCATTTTACCTCACCTATCTGGGGTCCCCTACCTCCATGTAAACAGGCCCTAAGAAAACTACCAACTTGCAGCTGGGCAAAATACAGAAGGACCGCAAGCGCATCACGTAACTTAGAATTGAGACCAAATAGAGAAAACCAGCTTCTGAATTGAATTTCTTTATCTACCTATTCTAAATTAACCCCTCTTATTCTAACTAACTGATACTGAAGTGAACTTCCTGCGCTTAACATTTCGTTTTATATAAAAATATTCGTCTACACCATTTTTAAAAATATTGTTTTGAATGAAAATGATTGTGTTCCTAAACAAAAAAGGAGGAGATTATAACTAGAGTACTCGACCTGGGCACCTTGACATGGGTTGAGGGAGGGGAGGGTGGTGGAGTCCAACGATACAACACGCACCCGATGAAAAAAATGTAACGTTGCTTCGTGTGTATGAGGCCGGTAGGTCGGAAGATCAACACAGAATCATTTACATCTCGTACTTAATTTCTACTAGTGAAGGATGGACCTATACAAATGAGACGCCATTTTTATGGTGCGGGAATTAATTTCAAGGCACATTTGGTCTAGCCTGCGAACAGCAGACGTATTTCCGGTTGTTGCTTCTCTCCCCACGACCGGAAATACGTCTGCTGTTCGCAGGCTACATTTGGTCCCGTCTGAGTACAGTAGTACAGTAGTTTTGATCACTTTCCGAAGTCTAATTTACCAAATGAAAATATTAAGGTTACCTAGAGGCAGAATTTTTGGATCAGTTCTGACCGCAGATTCACTGTCACGTGCCCAAAGGGGTTTTCTGGTAGTCTGCCCCTCGATGAAACAGAATACTGTTAGCAAACTATACGCCGCAAAGAAGCGATCGCGAGCGGTATATATGAAGGAGATAATAATTAAAAAAATACTCTTAGAATGGTTGGGCGATAGGGAAATACAGTAAAAACCCGCGTATAAGAACCTAGTGATTTAAGAACCTTCAGGCTGAAATTTTGCATTATTACCCAAATATATAAGAACCTATTCAGCCTGACAAAGAAAAATAGGTTCTTATATAAAAAAACACTCCAGATTTGATGTTCAAATTCTGGATTTTAATTGGGAAAATTTTTGTAGAGTACTGCTTTTTAGTCTTATCAATAAATATTATTCATTCCATAAAACTTTGCTGTAGTTACAAATACAGTCACAAAAACTGTACAGTAAATTTAAAAATTTGCATGGTGATCATAAAACTGTAAATATGGTCAGGCCCATGATACAGGACTTGTTTCGACAACAAGGCTTGACATTTTTTGTAAATGCTTTACAATTATAGCATATTAGTACTATTGCAGTTCCCCGAATGCTATCACTATAATAACTTTTGCAAATAAGAACCTACTAAGAAGCTAATCAGCCTGTTATTGGAAAAAATACCCCACAATATAAGAACCTGTTCAGCCTGAACTCCAAAATTTTAGGTTCTTATACGCGGGTTTCTACTGTAGAACACGTAGTACAAATTACATGTAAGCGCTACAACTCTTTCGGTAGAAGGTTGACAGATATGAATGCAGGTTCCATGGACGTATTACGTCCATTTTCCATTGTTCCATACAGTTAATCTTCCGTTCCGGAACAAAACTCCGTTCTAATCGCTTACAAACTAACTAAAGTCGTAGACAAAATCAAAATTTGGCGGGTCAGTGGGTATGGGAGGCGGTGTACCAGGAATTGATATATTCTCCAAGTCCAGCAATCTCAGCTTCATTTCCATATTGAGTAGAGTTTCTAGTTCTTCATGTGACTCTGAGGAAAGCATCTGTAGACCATAAGAAACCGTTGAGAATAATAGTAGAAGACGTAAGCAGTAACCTGCGTAGCTAGCGAGACTGTTATCCCTGGGGCCGGTTGGATGAAACGCGACGTGGAAATTAGGGACTGGCCAATATGTGTAGGGGAGTGAATGGGCCGATTGATGAAAAACAAATGACCTACGCCCTTCTTTTGGTACAAAACTGACTGATCCTTCCCTAAATGAAAGTTGAAAATTACATGACTCATCTCCCCTCCTACGTCTCTAGTTAGTTTGACTGGGCTAGACGTTAGACAGTAGCCTTTAAGTCCGACGCTAAGATGCTTCCAAATTATTAGCCCTTGGTACTTACAAAAAAAACAAACAAACACAAAAACAAAAGAAAGCAAAAAAAGGTCACAAACGTCAAATGATGGCATTGCCGAACTAAATTTGTTATTGTTCGCTTTTCATATTTAGCAGGAAACTATTATCGCCGTACAACCAAGAATTATCATGTATTTATCAACTGAGAAGCGCTACAATCACGCGTCCTGCTAGTTTTAACCCCCTCACTTAGCAGACTCAACGGGCAAGACATAAAAAGAAACAGCCACAACAACAATGACAGAAACAAAATTAAATAATAGAACCCACCTCCTTGCTGAGTAACGTTGCTAAGCCATCCGTCCAAATGGCATACTAAAAGAAAGACAACAACATGATGGATATTATTTTATTGTCACATGGGTACTGATGATATCTTGCCAAAAAAGTCTCACAATTTTTTGTTTCCTGCCCACGCGGAATTTATTTGCGAAGAATTGTTCCGTTGCAAGCGAAATAGTCCATTTTCGAGTTCGCTATGACCGCTGAATTAAAGAAGTGAAGACACATTTTTTACAGCCTTAGCCTCAAACTGAAGTAATATATTCACAAATTCCAACGAGGAAAAGACCTGTTTATTACTCTGTCTATTGTGTATATTCAAATTTCAAACACTTACTTGCCAGAATTTCTGAATATTTTACTTTACGTCGAGGCTAACCCTGTATGAATGTGTCGTTAATGTTTATATTCAGCGGTAATTTTTAATTCGAAACTGGACTATTACACTTATGAAATAGAAGAAAAGGCTCACCATTTGTTGATTTGTAGTGATGAAATCGAGATGCTTCTCCTCTGACTCAGTATCGTACATAAGTGAAAAACATAATGATACGTAGGCCTGTGCATAAATGAAGAAAAATGAGAAGGTTAAACTGCAACCAATGCTAACCAGCGGTTCCTTACAACAGCACAGGCTTCGTATGGTTGCCATGGATATTTTAAAGGCATTTTCGAAGGAATTATCGTTCTCAGTGACCACGCGTCCAATAGAGGCAACGAGCCCCTGAAAGCACCGATTTTCAAGATAATCCTATCAATAACAAGGCATGAACTGCGTCATCTACATGCTACGTGTTTCAAATCGTTGGAAAATAACCTGCTATCTGGGCAGGAAAAGAGAATATGTAACGCTAAAAGTGATTCATCAACTTTTACTGTTCTGGATGTGGTACCTGCAGAATCGCTGTCATTACAAGGGTACGAACAAGTTTTCAAATAGGGTAAAAAACTGATGATAAACTTGATAAAATGTTTAAATAAACGAGAGAAAAACATTAACGCAAAGCCGAGGAGAGCTTGCATCACTGTTGATAAAACAACAGCAAATAAATGTAAAACAAGGGATCACTCATTCAAAAGGCCTTCCCAAATGAGGATGTTACTCTACCATTTTTAAACTGCTTACAGTATATAATTGAAAAGGGCTAATTGAACCAGCTTCATATTCTATTTTAGTAATGACATTTCGTTCCAATATTTGTGTACAACTTACTTTGCTAAATTTACGATCCTTTGTATGAGGACAATCTTTTCCCAACAACAGGTTTGTTACTTTGGCAATTGCCACTTAAACGCAAAGGACAATAAAGTGAAAATTAAAATATGGTTAGCCATAGAAAGAGCGCAGCAGCAGTGAGCGACAAGCGCGCTGTAGTTCAGATTGCAGAATGCCACTGTTTTAAACGCGACATAACGCGGGAAAACGGACGTGTGGTGGCATTTTGGCGATTCCACGGTTATGGTTCGCGCGAAAAATATCTTAACTTGGTGGATCTTAAATGTAATAACGAATACTGAATAAGACGATCAAAACCAAAACTGTAGAATTTAAAGTGCCTTAAGGGATAAACAAGCGAAGAGTTGAAATGTTCACGCCATGCACACTTCAAAACTACTGTTTGAACGAATTAAGTACATGCAGTGTAATACTTTCAGCAATATTATTTTAGAACATTCTTTAAGTTTTCCTTGCGCCGATACATTGATAACGAGTCAAAAATAGCTAAAACTGTCGGGCTTTTAAATACTTACATTTGTTTGGAAGATTTTCGAGCGAAGGCGCTTGTCCTTCTTGGCATTCTCCGTAATGAAGAAATTTTAAATTAGGTGACAATCTACAATACCAGAATCTCTCTACAAACAAACAGAAAAACAACAAGACAACTTATATTCTCTCTTGTATTACATCAGTCCATTGTTTCAAACTGATAAGATACAGAAACTCAGTCTAAAAGTGCGAGGTTAATGTGTTGATTAGGCAACTTAGTCTCCTTGGCTTCTCCTCTTCAAAATAACGTTCCTTGAAACACCGTCCTCAATAAGTACCCTTCGTGTTTTTTAAACATGTCGTTTTACAAAATCATCTAACTCACCTCTGGCGCGCGTTCGTCCAGGTGCTTTATCAAAAAGGGCTCCTTGAATAAGTTGATCTAACCTCTGAAAAATCAAAACAAAAAATTAGCCTGAGAAAACAGCCGACATTATTCGCGACGTCACCATTCGTTTTCCTGCGAAATGACGTCTTACGGAGCGCAGAAATTCCAAACTGATGACGTGTCACTATCCAGATCTGGGCAGTATTTCCGATTGGTAGAGCCAATCAGAAGCACTACACAGATCTGGGTAGTGATTTGTCATTAGTATGGAATTTCTGTGATCTTTCGTCAGACGTCATTTCGCAGGGTAAACAGTGGTGGCGTAAAAAGTCGGCTACTTTCTCAAGCTAAACAAAAATATCATTGATATTTTTCCCACAGATAGCAAAGCGAGAGAGACACGCGTGTGCGAAAAAAAAACGCGACATTTCGCGAGCGAAACGTACCTGTTGTTTGACTAATTCTTTTAGATCCGGAAGCACTTGTTCCCTAAGTTCTCTGTTAAAAAAGAAATTTTTAAAAATATAATTTAACTATAAATAAGGCAGAAATCTTTCCGAGTGCGACATATTTTTTGCTGAAATGCCAAACAGTAAAAATTACGCCACTGAAAGAGATTTTAAAATCTAATTCTTAACTTCGCCATCACTCTCATCCAACATAACCGACTGGGGCAGGGTAAAGTGCTTCAACAGCAAAGTGCTGCCCTCAATCCATCAATTTTGGTTTATGTTGAGCCAAAAGTGTGAAACAACAGTTACAACATCGTTTCAGCATTCTTCCCCTCCTTCACCTCTTATGACATTTTAACGGTATTTCTTGTGTTTCTATTCGCGTAAGTGCAGTTTCTGATGATACATTGATCATTGAATCTATTCATCACTGATTTTTGAGCGGGGAATGTCATGGTTGTTTATCCCTGCGTGGTCTTAACATTCAAGGTTGTGTACGCTGTTTAAACAGAAGTATACCATGTTCATACTTACACGACAGGTTTGGCTTTTAGTTCCATGATGTTTCGTGCGTGAATCTCTTCTTGTAGAATTTTAAGAATTTGTGAAAATCCTAAACTAAAGACATTGGTCTGCAAAAGGGAGAAAGAGAAAATGGCGAAGTAAATTACCATGACAAAAACTTTTACGTCTGGACAAACCATTACACAGACAAAATTTTTAATAAACACGGTTTCAAGGACTTCCAGATAGTACATCGGAAAATGATAGATTATTAACTATTCATCAGAAGTAGGCTGTTTATCTGTGCACCGAACAATGGTTTCCTAGCCTTGAAAGCACAATACGCGCAACGAAGCCTCAAGATAAGAGATACGAGGTTACAAAAAATTACATCTAGAAAAAGGATAAAAAAGAAAGTAAAGAGTCTGTTACGGGCCCCATGCATCGTCCTTGGGAAGGAAAGAAAACAAGAACTCACGAAAATCCGTATTCGTGTTCGCTTGTTCTTTGGCATGTTCACACTACACGGGACAGCTATCGGGTATAATGTGAACGCCTATCCGATATGTGACGTCACTCCACTTAAGAGATCGGCGCGGCACAGCACAGAAATCGCGCCGAAATCACCGTTCTTATGTGTGAAAAGAAGTCCTATCCGATATGGTTTTCGAGCCGACACGAAAAACTACCGGGTGTAGTGTGAAAATAGCCTTAGTATGACAAACCTTAAACATTTCCATAGAGAGATGTTTTTCTCCCAGCGCTCTGCAGATCTGATCTTTAACTACTTGCATCACACGATTAAAGTCGCCTGAAGTGGCTCTCATTTCCTTCCATGTTTTATTTAGAAGCTGTATACAGATGCAGAAGAATTCTTCAAACGCGAAGTCCATTGTGAAGAATATTGGGTAAAAATCCTTTCCTGTTTCCGAGGCTTCAAATTATAGAAAGAAAAAATAAAAATCGAGAAATGAATGTTCAAAGTAGTAGCATTTGAATCAGCCTGAATAACAATCCTGTTAAACCAGGACAAGTAAACCACCTTATCACACCAATACCTGCGCTAAATGTCGTAATACGTCTTTTAATTTTAAGGTACAATTTGTT